TGTAACTGGGTTTTTTTGATAGGGTCTCTTGAACTGTTTGCCAGGGCTGGCTTCGAACTGTGATCCTCCTGATCTCTGCCTCCTGAGTAGCTAGGATTACAGGTGTGAGCCACTGGTGCCCATCTGAGATTTGTGTTCTTAGGGCTGGTGTGTGGCTCAAGTTGTGGAGCACCTGCTTAGCCAGGATCAAGACTGAGGCCCCATTTGATTTTAATAAAGTACTCTTGTGTAAAAGATACTATTCCCATTTTGCAGGTAAGTAAACACTGTCTTAAGAGTGACGTGATCAAGGGAACAGGACTAGCAAGTAATAAAGCCAGGACCAGAAACTAGGCATTTTGACTCTTGGTTCAAGGCCTTTATTCACCAGGTCCATAGAACAGTGCCCTGTTTCTAATACAGCACTACATCTTGTAGGTTTCATCACTGCTGTGGTTGTTGTTGCTATTATTTTTACGAACTAGTTCCACCAATGCCTCCTGGAAGGTAGAGAAGCCTCAAAGAACAATTTCACTTTTTCTTTCTATGGCTTAATTTTCTTTTTTCTTTGGTAGATCATTTTAATACTAGATTACCAGTGAAAGTAATTATTCATCTTTGGATATTTGAGAAATGAAAGCTATTAAGCATAGGAGTAAGCTTCAAAATACAAACCATTTATGGCTTACCATGCAAAAGGGCCGAGGGAGCAGCCCAGTGATTTGGTCAGTGCTCCCTTTCCAACACAGGCAGGAAGTCAGAAAGTTAAAGACAAAGAGACTAGAGAAGTGGAAACCTGTAGAAAAGGTAAAATGGCAGAAAGGGGGCCGAAGATGAGGGGAGAAGAGATTGAAAATATGAGAGTATCGGACAATAAACAATACAAATGAAAAAGAGAGACCAAGAATTCGATTTCAGACACAGTAGACTGAAAGAGCTGGTGGAATTACCAGTAGCATGAGGGAACAGAAGGAGTCTGAAAGGTGAGTACTTTCTTTGTGTAAAGCAGGGTTTTAGGTGGCAGTAAGGTTCTCCTGAGTGGAAAGGGTCTGGGAGACAAGAGGTGAATTTGGAAGATGTGTGCTGTTGGAGGTGTGCTGTCCGATGCAGTGTTACCTACTGAGCAAATGAAAAGTGGTTAGCTTGAACTGGGATGTGCTGTAAACTCAATGTACACCAAATTTTGTATGAAAAAGATGAATATTTATTAACTTTTTTGCATTGATTACATGTTAAAGTAATATTTACATGGATGGGTTAAAATAACATTAAAATTAATTTCACTTGTCTCCATTTTTAGTGTAACTACTAGAAAATTAAAAATTATAATGTGGTTTACATTTATGTTTGGACTGGACACCGCTGATACAGAGCAATAATAGATATGTACTAGGATCCCATAAGGGACAGACAAGTACGAAGTGAACTGGAGATGACATTCTAAAGTGTCTCAAAAGAGCACATCATTTTAAGAGATAACATCCACTGAGCACTCTAAGCACTATGCTAGACACATAAAGTGCATTGTCTCATTGATTCCTACCAATAACCTTAGGAAATATCATCATTTTTAATAGAAGAAAATCCTGGGACCAAGGTCACACAGCTAAGTGTTGGTGTTGAGCGTCAAGCTCATGATTCAGAGTAAATTATGCTATTGAATTACTAACCTGTTAGATTTTAAATGGCTATGTGCAACAATTCACTAGACAGGCTCATTGTCATAATCAGTGATACATCAGTGATGTCCTAATCCAATTAAGAAGAAAATGGAAATGTGTACACATATAACTCTTGAATTCTGACGACCTGATACTGGTATATTTTCTCCATATTAGGTCACCAAATAAGATCTTCACTGCAACTTTCCTTTTATCAGCATCTGCTCTTAAAAAGTCCAGCTCCCCAAAATCAAGGTGTGGTGGTTCACATCTGAAATACCAGCTACTCAGAGGTAGAGATTAGAAGGATCAAGGGTGGACGCCATCCTGGGCAAAAAGATACTGAGAACCCCATCTCAACCACCAAGTCAGGTGTGTGATCCCAGCTACCCACATGGTGTCAGGTAAGAGGATCACAGGCCTAAATTGGAGCCAAGCAAAAACTCAAGACCCTATCCAAACAAGCAAAACTAAAGTAAAAAAGGGCTGTGGGTGTGCCTCAAGAGGTAGAGCTCCTGCCTACTCCTGCTCTGAGTTCAAACACCAGTACTTCCAAAACCAAAAAAATTCCACATATACCCCCCAAGTTAAATGGTGCATATCTAACTGTCCAGTGGAAATGATCATCTTACAACCCTGACAGCAACCACGGCCCTGTTTTCTGAACATACCTAGATATATGATATGGATCCACTTAACAAATTTTCAGGTCTCTTACAGAGAACCTCCCAAACTGAGAAAAATGTTTTAAGCAAGTTGGATTATACTGCAACTTTTTATTCTAGAATAAAAAATAAGCTTACTCAGGTATTTTAAAAATGAATTTTATAGGCCAGGTGTGGTGATACACACCTATAATCCCAGCACTCAGGAAGGGGAGACAGGAGGAGCAAGAGTTCCAGGTGAGCCTAGACTATACAACAAATTTCAAGCTATTTTACACTGGGAGACCCTGTCTCAAAAGAAAAGAATTTTATGCTCTTTAAAAATACTGTACTTCCCTCTACACGCAAGAAAAACACAAAAGCAGGTGAGTATCTAGATTAAAGTGACTGATAAAATAGCATTTATTTGTTTTATGCAGTTCTTGCCAGAGACGCCTTCAAACAAAGCAAAAGAAAGATGAAGGCATAGCTACATGAGAAATTTACTATATACAAAGTCAGATATGCTGGTGCACATTTTCAAGGTTAGCCTGGGTTACATAGTGAAACTTTGTCTTGTGAAAAATAGTATCTACTGTATGCTATTGTACTATTTAAAATTTAAAGGCTGTAAGCTAAAAAAAAAAAACTACTATACTTTCAATGCATAGAATTCGGTATTTTTACTAAGCTCATAACACAGGAAAATCTACAAATATAAATTGAAATCAAAGAATAAGGAATATTCCATGTATACTTTTAGTTGGTTTTAATTTCAAAGACAAACTTATCTTTCTTTCCTTTTTACCATTAATTTCTCTTTTTCTTTTTGGCAGTACTGAGGTTTGAACTCAGGGCTTCACTCTTCCTAGGCAGATGCTCCAAGGCTTGAGCCACTCCACCAACCCCTTTGCCTTTAAACTTCTACTAAGATGGACAAGGTGGTTATTGGGAACTGAACTGTACAGTCACAGCAATAATTACATCATTTCCAAAAACTTGCTCATGTACATTTTATTAAGCAGTTTGTCTCCAATTATAATAAACACACTTCCCTAAACCACTGCCATAACTTACACTATGAAAATGGAAAAGGAAAATGAAATGTGAAGAAAAATATTTTAGAACAGACTAGTTAGGAGCCATATCTAAAGGGACAGTAGTTCATACTGGTCTCCTCCACTGCCCTGACCCACTAACTTATGAATTCAACTCCCAGCACTCCCCCACATTTTTAAAACGTGATATAATTTGGACTTAAGATCGATTTTTGAAAAACAGTTATCAAAAGTAGTATCAAGATTGTTGTATAAAGCTTGTAAGAACTGGCCCTTGATTTTGGTTCTTTTCCATTCAGTTAAGGACATATATTCCCTTACTAAAATTCCTACTTATACTTTGGAACAGAGGTTCAGGCCCCCAGGAGGGAGCCCTAAAGATGCCTTGTTCACTCTGATGACAAGATATCAAGAGCATAAAGTGACAGATCAAGTATAGGAGACGGCTCTGTATACTCAGCATCGAGGGTCACCAAACAGTCGGTCTCTCCTGTTGAAGAGTATCTGCCTAGTCCCAAACATCACTTGAGTCCTTGCGGTGTTTACCCAATCACTATTGCTGCTTCCCACTTGTGCATGAGCACAAAGTACTTTGCTTTACTGAGTTAATTTTTAAAAAGTGTTATTGAGCACTTGTGTGCCAGGCATTGCTGTTCGTACCAGAAACACAGCAGTGAACAAAAGACAAAAATCTGTCTTCCTGAAACTCACATTTTGGTGGGGGAGACGCTCAATGGGCAATATAAAGCAGCAATACACAGAAAGAGACATAAAGATACATAGATAGCATCCTAACAAAGGCAAAAAACAAAGTGAAGCAGGCAGGGGGAACACGAACGTGGAGGGTGGGCTAGGAACGACTGGATAAAACACAGACTTAAAGATCAGAGAAGGCTTCACGTGGAATCAGGTGGAAAGCGCGAGTGCGCGCAGATGGGTGGGGATTGGTACAGCGTGTGTGTGACCAGCCCCGCAGTGGAGCGAGGCGCTGACACCAGCGGATCCCGCACGCCCCCGCCGTGGGCCTGGGAGCGCGGCACAATCGCTGCCTTTGTAGCCGCTGAAACTCCGGCCAGTTAGCTCGCGGGACTCAGGGACACACAACGCTCGTTCTCCAGGAACCGAGCTGGGGCAGAGAAGCCAGCGCGAGGAGTTGGGGTGCAGGGCGGCGAGGCACCCAGCGGGGAGGGGACACACCCCCGAGTGCGGCGCAGCGCGGGGAGGGTGGCGGGAATTCGGCCGTTAGGGCCGAGACCTAGCTTTTCCCGAGGCCGGGTCGGCAGGGCGCGCGGGAAGCGCGGCTCTCCATCCCGGGTCCGGGTCGAGGGGCTGAGGGTGGGTGGGCCTCACGCCCGGGAGAAGGGGCGACGTCCCGACACCCCGCGCACAGACGGACCGAGTGACTGACGGCCGATGCATGCAACAAGGGGCCGGACGCGAGCCGGCGCCTCGAGGTCCCGACAGAACAGCGAGAAGGACAAAGTTCCCGACTCCGCGGGTCCCCGAGCCCCCTCCCCAGGCCGGTGTGGACCCGGCCCGCCTCCGCCAGCGGCGGATTCTAGCGGTCTCACCCACCGCGATGGGGCCCCGCCGGGCCCGTTCCCGCCGAGTGCGCGGTGGAGGAGAGAAAGGAAGCGCGGCGCGCGGCCCGCACTCACCATGGCCCGCGCGGGCACCGATGCGCTGTCCAGGGTAGCCAGCGTCCCTCTGCCTGGCGCTCCGCGGCGCCCGCGCTAGTCACCCACACCCACGCCCGGCGCGCGCACGCCGTCCGCGCCTCTCCGCCCCCTCGGGCTCGCGCCGCGGCCGCGCGGCCTCCGAGCTCAGAGCCGTTTCCCTGGCTCCTCTCTGCTCCGCCCCGCCCAGCTCCGCTCGCCCTGGGAGCCTAGCGGGTCGCGGCGCGAAGACGGCGCGGGGGAGGGCGCGTGCCGGCGAGGCGGCGGCCCCTGAGGCCTCGCGCGCCCCCTCCGCGTGCACGGAGTGTCCCGCGCGGGCACTGCCCCCTACAGGCCGGGCGGCGATTTGCAGGCCCAGCTGTCGCCGTTTGCTCAATGATTACCAGGCCAAGCCACCGGAGCGCTGGGAAGGAGGAGCCTAGGGCTCGTGCTTTAAGTGGGGCCTCATAGATTTCAAGCATGGCTTCTGTTTATGCAGGATGTAGGTTTTTTACAAGAGGAATTGAGCGGATCACTATTAATAAACGTTCTGAGCAGGACACCATCTTACCCAATGCGTTCTCAGGAGGATCTTATTCAGAACACTCTCAGCTGGTGACTCCGGTAGTTTATTCAGCATTCATTGTGTATGAATGAATCGAAGGGGATCTAAGACCCTGGGGCCTGGGGGGCGGGTAGGGTGAGGAGTGAAGATGAGAGATGTCAGGAAGGGTAGATATCATGTGTCACCTGACATTTGCATCTTTTCAGCCTTAATAATGTGTGCTTTTTTTTTTTATGTGGCTAATGTGGTAAACTTGAAATACACCCAGAGGCGAGCATGTCTACTGGAGTTGGAAATGCTGCAAACGTCTGAGCGTCCACACAGGTAACTACACACCTGATACAGTGAGGATGTGCTCTCGCATGTTTTTGTAAAGTAGCAGAATAACCACAGATCACAGTGCCGAGTCTTAACCTCACATAACTACCTAATTTTTGCCAGGTGCTGGTGGATCACACCTGCAATCCTAGCTAGTTTGGAAGCTGAGATCCAGAGGATGGCAGTTCCAGGCCAGCTTGGGCCAAAAAGTTCAAAAAGACCATCTCACTGGGAAAAAAGCTGGATGGGGCGACACCTGTCTGTCATCCTAGAACTAGGGAAGCATAAAATATAAGGAATGGAGGATTGTGGTCCAAACTGGCCTGGGCAAAAAGCAAGATGCTATCTCCAAAATAACCAGAGCACCCAAATAACCACAGCAAAAAGGGCTGGAGTCATGGCTCTTAGATCACCTGCCCAGCAAGTGAAGTTCAAACGCCCAAACCTGAGTCAAGCTTGAGCCAGCAGTGCCCCATTCAAGCCCAGAGTTTAGTTACCACCATAAAAGATACATATATACACATATATATGTATTAGAGTTTTCCTCTAGTTGGAGTGGTAAGCATCAGGTACACATTTCTCAATAAAAAGTCATTAACTTTACAATCATAAGCAAGTTGGTATTTGCTAATTAAATCCCATAAGCATCTCAGGCGTCAGCTCTGCTACATACTGGCGGTGTGGTACTGGGCTACTTTCCTAACTCTGTGCCCCGGTTTCCTGATCTGTAAAATAGAGATAAAATAGTATTTACATTACATGTTAGAATTAATAGAAGTAAAACTCTAGAAAAATGCTGGGTGCAAAAAAAAATACCGGTCATTGATTTGTGACTGATTTGATACCTGTGTGAATCAGAGCATGACATTCTATTTAGGGTTGCCACATATTTATAAAAAGTGTCCACAGGGTCAAAGTTAAATCTACACGTTGATTCCAGCTTTATGTATTCACTTGGTTTGCTCAGCAGGTGTGTGAGTGCCTGCTATGTGCTAGGCATTGTGGTAAGAGCTGGAGTAGAGTGATAAACAAGCACAGCCCCTGCCCTTGGAAGTTTCCAGAACCTGTGATGACCTATGATATCCAGCAACTGGAAGGAAAATCACCCAAATCATCACCAAATTGTATCTTTTCCATGGATAACAGTATTATGGGATTTTTTTATATTCCCCTATTTTTCACATTTTATGTGTATTGATATTTACTTTTTCATTCTTGTGGTGCTGGAGATGGATCCCAGGGCCATGCATATGCTAAGCAAGTGCTCTACCACTGAATGACATCCTCAGCCCTTGGTTTTGAGAGAGGGTTTCCCTGTTCGGGACTGTGATTGTATTTATGCTTCTCACATAGCTGGGATAGTAAACATGCACGACCCCACTCAACTTTTTATTAGTTGAGATGGGGGTCTCATGAACTTTTGCATGGGTTGGTCTTGAATTTTGATCTTCCCGATCTTCACTGCTCAAGTAGGTAGGATTACAGGCATGAGTCACTATGCCCAGTCTGATTTATATTTTTAAAGCTCTAAAAATAATGTCCACATTTCTGGGATACTGAACTACAAAAATCCCAGATCTGAATTTCATTATATCATTAATCTAATGCAGTAAAATATGAGTTCTTCATCCAAATCGTGATTCTCAGACATTATTGGATATAAATAGCACCAGGGAATTTACACTGCACAATTACCCATGCAGGTGTGTACAAGGATTACATTTTTTTAACAAGCATCATAAATGATGCTGATTGGACCATGCACCACATTTTGAGAAACCCAATGCCGTCATGTGCTCAGGGAAAGCTTGAGTAAGTTTTTCTAACAATAGCAAGGAAATTTGTTCTCAGTGTCAGGATTGAACCCAGAACCTCACCAAAAAAAAAAAAAAAAAAACTTAGGTGACCACCTCCCTTCAGGCATTCTGCTGCTGTTTGCTTGCAGGAACTGTACCACTGATGTCATCTCTACCTTGCAAAGCACACCAAATTAACACATGGAAGGCACTTTTGAACTCTGAATTGTCCCAATCCTTCCACATTACCATTTAGCCTAATAATTGCTATTTTACCTTTATTGTCTAAAAACACACCAATTTGCAGGGCCAGAAGGTATAAAAAGCCACCTACATCTTACCTATTTCTTGAAATATTCTATGGCTTTTCCTGAACTAGAATAAAGGAAGAAAGAGATAGCAAATGCCAGAGGGTGTTTTTCCCCCACCAATATTTCATTAAATAAAACAAAGAAGTGGCCTATCTCTATAAACACAGAACTGGGAAAGGGCCTAATTGGATATAATCTGAATTCTTATTTATCAATAAAAAATGTTAATATGCCACACTCCCATGACTTTTTTTTTTGTCTTCTATGTAGTACACTAAAGCTGTAATTTACTTGTGTTTCCAATCTGTCGTGAAACCCCTGTAGAATATGTACAATAACATAACTATGGGGTAATCGTGTATGAGGTACTTACATGGATGTGGTGCTATATAAAGTATCAGCAGTAAAAGCTAAGAATCTTAAATCTAAAAATAGAGATTCGACCCTATCTCTTTTAAAAATATGTCTTATATTTTACATGTGAAGAAAAGGTATCTCAGAGAAGTTAGAGACGACTGATAAGGGATGAGTGCTGAAGCCCAGAGCCTGAGCCTCTATTCTCACTGTCTCCACTGCCAGCCAGTGATAGCCTCTCAGCCCTCGTCAAAATTACAAAGTGAACACACTTTGTTGTTGGTGAGACTATCTCATTTTTTGCATGGTTTTCTTCTGAAGTATCCCTTCTTTTCACATGTAGCATGTTTGAACCTAGGTCTTTGTACATGCTAGGCACACTCTGCACCACTGAGCTAAGCCCCAGCCCAGCTTCTTTGTATTTTATCCCAAGAAAAAGACTGATGATTTGCTGTGACTCTAAATCAGTCTATCTACTACTTTTCTTCAGAATATTTGTGTCTTTAGGGAAATAGTAGAAACAGAGTCTAGAAATCAGATCCTCTCCTTGGCCATGTATTCTGCTCTGTGGAGCACAAAGTTTTGTACCTATGAGTTTAGAAATGAAAACTAGTAATATGAAGAGTCAACCCAGATGAAGGAACACTGACACATTAGTTTGGGATGGAACATCAGGTAGACAATTATTACCTCATATCAACCCACGTAAAAAATCATTGATTTGAAAATACTATACTGAGTGCTATGATCTAGCACAATATTCTTCAGCAAAAGGTTGGTAAACTACAGCTGCAGGACATAACATCTACTCTATTTTTGTTAATAAAGTTTTATTAGAACACAGTCATGCCCATGCATTTGCTTATTGTCCATGGCTGCCTTCACTCTACAATAGCAGAGTTGAGTCATTTTGACAGAAATTGTGTAGTCCACAAATCCTCAAATATTTACAATTTGGTCTGTTAGGAAAAAAGTCTGCAGGTCTCTGTAGAACTTAGGTGATGTGAATGCAGTAGAAAATGTGAATCAATTCTATTTTTTACTGAAGCTTGGAAGACAAGAAACAAAGTAATCTTGGATAAAGAAGTGTTATGAAGAAATAGTGTTATAGTAAAAAGTGAGTAGCATTTTAAATAGAAGCTTTAAATAGAGGCTTGAAAAGGCCTCACCAAGCAGATATCTGAGTTGAGATCTCAATGATGAAAACAAGCCAGTTATAATACCATGAGCAGACCTAGGGGGAGTCCTTCCAGAAAGAGAAAATAGCAATGAAAAATGCTCTGATATGGAAAAGTTGGGACAGGAAGGGGCCAGAGTGTCTGGAAGTGAGAGTCAGCATTATAGTGAGGATGCAAATCCGTGTACAACTCTACTCAAAAATTCTGTCAACTTCACTTAAATGAGAGTAAGGACATCAAATGCATTCAAACAGCAGGACCAGAACATATGGTCCTCCTAGAAAAAAGAGCTCGTGTATTATATTTGTTCTAATTGGTAGTTAATAGGAAACGAAAGGAAGAATAGTTTCAATGTAGTTAACATTTATTATTTCAATAAGTTTGTCAATGAACATTGTAGACCAGATAGAAATGAGGAACCTAAATGGTGAAGAGTTTGAATGGCTTTTTACTTGGCACATGTTTGGACAATGTGCATTGTTACAACCTAAGCAACTCATCAATGTCAAGAAAGCAGAGACTAAAGGGA